TTACTATTTACAAGGTACCTACAGGTAAGCCCTAAAGCCCAACTCTGCGTCTGACTTGTGCACTTGGAACTTCCATGTTTTTTGCCAAAATATGTCGGAGTAATGTCAAACCATATAGATAACTGCGGGGTCTTTTTTGCACAATAAAAGCATCACAGATCATCCTACCAGTGTGTTCACGTAAGCATATTCACATTAAGAGCCACCTCCAAGACCCTGACTGCCTTCTTCTGGGTGCAGAGGAACAGGGAGACACCAACCACCTCTCTGAATTTGACCCCATGGCTGGACAAATGCAGTTGCATCTGAGAGGTTCATTTTTCTTTATAAAGCTATCTCGATGGCAGAGTACTTTAAATTGTATGTATAAAGACTAAGAAAGCTTCTGATTAAACACACAATCGCACAGATAACTTCCTTCGGCCCATTGGCTGAAGGCTTTGTCCTCTGCAGCTCTTGTCCACATGAGAGACTTTGCTGGTGTGACGTATGATCGTGAGAAGGCCAGGAAGGAACCTGACTGCCAAATTCAATAAGGTACTAAGCCAGTCATGACACAGTTTAGTTTCCAGGCACGGTCCTTGTCAACTTACTGTTAATGATTTTTTTATTAACACAGTAAAAAAAAAATTAAAATCTTCTGGGCTAAATATGGACCAGTTCCCACCGTACTTTAATTTTAAAAGACAGTTGTATTTGCTTCTCCTGAGAGTGTAACTGCAGGTATCCATCAGCTGTAGAACCATGGACTCCAAACAGTCTATGAAAATCATCCCAAACAAAAGCTAGAAAATTAGATATTAATTACTTACGACTGATGTCTCTTTAGAGAATACATAATTTTCCCAAATAGCAAAGTTTTGGTCTAACATAAGAGGGCTTGCTCTGTCATTACAGATTCTTAACACTGGCTAAAAGCATGTTAAAGTTGTATCTTGAATTAATGCCTATTTTGGAAGTCTAAGAACTGGCAAAATGATCCTTGGCTGTGCCCATTATTAGAAAAGTTTAGTGATGGTCAGCCAAAGACACTAACTCTTAAAATCTGTTTAATGAGGGCGAGCTTTTCATGGCATGGATCAGGGACACAGGTTTCTTGCAATGCACTCTTCAGTTTACAGCATGCTGTTAATTAATTTTAACATCATACTCAGGAGCTACATTTTAAAAGGCAGACATATAGGTAAGGGAATCAGAAAATGGAAATGGAACAGAAAACATGGCAGATATAAATGCGATGAATGACACGTTAACAAAATTGTTGTGAGATGGACGGACGGATGGATGGATGAGTAATGACATTTTGCCCCCTCATTTTGAGGCTGAAACATCAAAATTCTGCTGCCATCTGTCGTGCTTGCAGATACCCTCATGTCTCACTGCTAGAAAAGATAGTGTTCAGCTGCAGCTGTGAAGAGTACGCAGGGCAAGTTGACCATTTGCAACAAATAACTTCAACAGAGTTGGCCCGGACCATAGGAAGTCATTTGTTCCTCATCCCAAGATGGAATTTTCCAGTTACTTTACAAATTGCAGAAGCATGATAAGACTTCTGCAGAGCAGTGACTAATGTAAAAACAAATACAATTCTACTATGACAAGAAAGGTGTTCACAAACTGCAGGAAGCAGTTTAAAATAAATTGATGTAGGTTTTGAATTGTCTGCAAGTTGGGTTTAGCTTCCTTCCATTTACCTTTTGCTGCATTAACATTTCTTTTGTGATGGCTGCTGCTGGGAACCTATTGTAAGTTTGGGCAATTAGGATTTTTGTTCCATCTGTCCCTCCCCTCAGTCAATACTGTAGCATCAAAAGAGGCCAATTCAGTGTAGGCTGGCTCTGCTCTAAAGCCAGCTAAAAGAGATGTTAGAATTCACTACTGCTCCGGGTGGAAAGGATGGGGGGGAAAAAGCTATAATCATAAAAATGCTGTTTCAGGCTTGTTGAGTTCTTAAAATAATCTGACTTAAACCTCCTACACAATGCTCACAAGTCAGAGCATGGTAATACACTTCAGTGTAGGTTGCCTCTCTCTTCTAAATCCAAACTAAAATAGATGTTAGAAATCATTACTGCACTATGACAAATACAGACTAGGACTGTAATCAGAGGGCTGCGGCTTCAGGTTTCAACGGTTCTTAAAATAATCAGCCTTAAACCTGCTGCAGGAATCAAAGCCTGGTCATTTATATTTTTGTAAGGCTGAGGATTCCATCACCTCAGGCTTCTCCCTGATAAAAAAGCAGCTTGCTTTTTTTTTTTTTTTTCCCCCCACTGAAATAACTTGTCCATGGCAGATATTGGCAGGTAGGATGACACTGGAAACTAGGTACTTCATTTTTGTCAGAAGGTTAACTCCATGTAGAGTCAGGGTATGACCTCAGAACAAAACCGAAGTGCCTCCTCTTCACTGTGTTTTTACCTGAGCTCAGCAGATGTATATTAGCTACCTGAACTCAAAACTGCTTTGCAAAGTGAAGGCCACTTCCTTATATCCCACTACTAAGCACAGTGTTAAAGCAGGCAGCTTTGCTCCTTTCCCAAACCACAAATTCCTAGTTTACTCTTTTCATATATACAATCCATAATTTAACTGTTCAAATACAAATTGAAACAAAATAAGGAGAATGCATGTGATGGGGAGTTTACTCTTCTTCCAGTGGCCCAAGAGCTTCTTCTGTGTGACCAATTAGTTTTTTCTCTCTCTAATCCCACTCTGCTTCTGACTCTTTATTTAATACAGGTTTTTCTGCGGATGCAGATTAACCACAGCCTTATTTTCAAGTATAAGTACTTCTAACAAGTTATCTGTGATGCAGGCTATAGACATGAAAATAAGGTAATCTTCCTATTCTTTTGCAAATGCCCAGGAAAGAATATGCTTAACATTGTGTAATAACATCCGGACCAGGGGTGGGAAGGGTGGGAAGAAGCAGGGAGTGCCTCTGATGCTCCTGCCACACTGATGCATTCGTTAAAGCTAAATCCAGCCCATGAAAAAAAATGGGCACAAATAGCCACACTCATGGAGGCATTTGCCTCTTCTCATTTTTGTTAACATTCAGTATGCTAACTGTGCCCTCGGGATTTATCAGCATTATAAAACATGGTATGCTGTCTTTTGTTCACCCTGACTTTCTGAGAGTCACAGACCTACATGACAACTTTTAAAAGATGGTAAATCTCAAGGCCGTCTGACTGCACAGAAAAGTCTGGAAATGTGGGAACCACACAGTTCAAAACCAGAATACTCTTAGCATTATTGCCACACATGTTAAAACTTTGAGGGTTTTAATGTTTCAGGTGCAAGTTCATTGAAACCTCATTCAGGGAGGGAATTAGAGACTCAAGTGCCCCAGCAGGCATAACACCAAAGCAAGGCAACTGAGTGAGTTTATAGCATCAGATAGGACTAATGCTCAGTGCAATACTCAGCTAACACTGCTCCAAGAAAACTTCCTTTCCAGCCATGTTCAGTTTGTCATGGGACAGGGCTGGCCCACCAGTTGCAAGGTGTTCTTCCACAGTCAAACACCAAGTCTGAAGGTAAGTCCCAAGACGCTATGGGTTGGGGAAAGACCAGTCTTCTGGGAGGTGGAGATGTCCAGGACAGTCTCACCACCATCTGCAGTCAGAAAGGACTTGGAAAAAATTCACATCACTTCTCCTTTGTCCTTAGCAAAGCCACTGACTTGGGACTAATAACTTGCTCTCTTTCTCCCAGTCCCTTCAGTTTATCCCAACCAGCTCAGCTTTCGCATGCTCCCAGTTGAGTTAATCAGAAGATACGCAGGCAGTATTAGAATAATGTTATTTAGGGGACTGAAATACAGTGACTCCCAGGAAGTCATTGAAACTGGAGAAGCAACCACAGGAGTAGTGGAAGAGGCTCCAGAGCAAGTATTTACCAACAACTAGAAAGAGCTGTAAATTTTCCCCCAGCTTATTATGCTCCTTCACTGACAGGTCAGCACAGCTGGATGAAGGTGGTACAAAGCCTTCCAGTGGTCACAGGCTTAGGAGGAAAAGGGCTTATGGTTTACCCCAACCAGAGCAAGAAACCAGGAGACACAAACCCCAGGTTAGGTGTAAAACTCATGAAACTATAAATTCAGCTCTGAAGAAAGTATCAGAAGAGGCCCATCTTGTGGCAAATGTGGTCACTGGATAAAGGGAAAAGATGGTCCTGAGCAAGTTTGCACTGGTATCATGGCCTAGATCAAGCCATAGGCTGTCTGTTTGAAAGGGGTAAAAAGCAAGCTACTAAAGAGTTAATCCTAAACAAAAGGTTTCAAGTGCTAGGGAAAAGTGGCCACTGGTTATCCAAGTGACTTAATGTACTTCGGGATATCTATGCCACATTAATCTTGCATGTATACCTGTCACCTACTTCAGAAATAATTCCTTACGAAGAGATGTTAGGCTTGTCTCAGTCAGATAAAAGGTTTTAAGCTTTTCAAAACATGGAGTTTTTCTATCTGAGAGAAACAAGGAAAAGGATCGCCCTGAGTTAAGTAGCATCCACCCACATAAACCAAACAGGTCTGCACCAAACGAATTGTGCTATAAACCGTGGAATTTTACAAGCAAGTTTTATATTAATTCTTTAGAAACCCTTTGTGCTTATGGTTTCAGACAGAATATAAAAGTACCATATAAATATCAGCACAATATAGTAGGCAGCTGTTAGGTACTTTAACCATTCCCAATCAATTATAATAAACAGAGCAAGCACACTGAATTGCATCAGAATGCCGTGCAGTAACCCTCCACCACTGACTTCTCCTTCCTGCTATGTAAAATTAACCTTGTGATAAATTACCTGTAAAATGACAGAATCTGGAATGTTCTGGAAGGTTTTTGGTAGGCTGGGATGGATAGAGAGACTACAACCACTTTTTGAATAACATACAACATTAATGGCAGTAAGAGTATTTTTTTTTTTTTTTTAAAACCAACTGCAAAATAGCAGCAGAATAACCCCAACTATTCCATTCAAAGCAGAAGGGAACCCAAAATCTTGACCCTACAGAAACACTGGGAAGCAGTGGCATCATGCCTAGCAGGTAAGATTTGCTTATTTGGCTAAAAACAGACAGAACAAATAGAAATGCAGTGCATGGGAGACTTGGGAGATACAATGGGGTGGCAGCAAAGCCTTCTCTTGTGGCAGGGAAGGGAGCACAGCCTCCTGGAGTAGGCAGCACAGAAGGAAGGAAAGGTGGGAGCCTGCTGGAAGGAAACCACATGACTTGACAAATGGAAAGTCACTTCTGGAAGTGATGAACAGGCAAACTGCTTCTTATGTACAAACATCAACTGTTTGTTTCTTTTGCTTTCTCTTTATACACCTTTAACTCCATCCACTTGGATGCGCTTGTTGCTTCAGATGGGCGTAAAGCTGAGCATGAGGAAAACTCACAATCAAGAACAACACCCTCTTTTGTGTGTGTGCTACACTACTTTTATCCAAATATGCAGTGATATTCCAATACTCAGAAAATCATCGAAATTATGCAAGGGCCACAGACAATTCTCACAGTGACTGCTCTCACTTGCATGCTGGATCTGGCTGTAGACATGGATGCTGATTGGTGGGGTCTGTGTCTGGACCACTCCTGAATCAGGCACATGGTGAATCCCACAGGCCTTGCTGAAATGACATTTTTATTTACAGTATGCTGTGATATGTGAGGTGGGGAGGATAAAATCTGCTGTGTTTATTTACTATTTCCGCCCCCACACACACTTACAGCTGGTAGTTTTTTGGCACTTCAGTAGTCACACGTCTCCTAAAATTATACTAATTTGAATTTAAATACTGTCAGCCAGAGCTATTCTTAACAATTTAGATTTTTTCTATGTAATACATAATAGTTTTAAAACTCTCCTAAAAATGTGAGAATTTCATAAACTTTGCTTTCATGCTTCAAAACTCTTAACTCTTAACTAAAACAACTATTAACAAAAAAAAATTATTGGACAGATCACTATCTGCCTGAGGAGCAATGTACAGATACATGACAATAATGTCAGATCAATCTATAGCAAACTGACAAAAAAGACTACATTTTAATTACACATCATATTAATACTAGCATTTAATATTATTTGCATCATCAAACAAGATGTTATAAGTGTATTCAAAGTCCTGAAAATATTTTTACTTTCTGCAATAAGACTTCTAGACACAGAAGCAACAACTAAATAGGTATCATCCTATTCACTAGAGTACCTCAGACTTGGAAGAAAGAAAATCAAAAGAAATTATGGAAAAAACCATTTTCCTGTAGCTTCCCTCTCAATAGGCTGGCTTTCCTTTAGCACTAGATTTTGGTTCCTAGCAAGAAGATGATGGTCAAGCAGAAGAGAAACCAGTAATGCATTGATATTTAAAGATCTGGAAACTTGACCTTTTAATGATCCCAATCCAGCCAAGGAGAAGTTGAGGAAAATGCATTTAGAAACTGAGGACAATACATAACATAAGGTGGAGGTTAACACAGACAATGACAATCAGAGCACTTTTGGGCTCAGGCAATACAGTGACTGCTGAGCCCTATATTTTCATTTCAATGTGACAGGGTAAGAACATTGTACTGTCTCCTAAAAGACAGAATATGAGACAAAATTAAATATTTTATGGGACAAAAAATCCTCCTGGAGGACCTTCCCTAGTCTGTCAGCAAGTCTATCCTCTCTCACAGAAATAAAACACAGTCCACGAGGCTTCAAACCTGTGTTTTGGAGAATTACTTCTGACACGGTGAATCATGACGTAAGCTTGAGGCAAGCAGGCTACCACAACAGATTTTACTGCTAAATACTTGTCACAGGCTTGTGTTCAACACTCGAATTCAAGTCAAAATTTCATATTCAAAAAACTAATACCTGTGATATGGCTCTTCCTTTACATCTATCTACCTGTTGTCTGAAACTCCGATATGTGTCATGTAACTCTCAGGGACACAGTTTACTGAATTTACAAAATTAATAGTAGTGGATTTACCAGTAACTTGTTTTTTAACCCTGTAACATCCTCTCAGAAGGATGTCCCTTCCCCACAGGCTATTTTCTCACAACACAGCAAATGCAATCAACATAAAACCTCATTTCATAAGGCAGCTGTAAAGTGAGAGCTACAATGGAAAGCCTTAAATGAACTGTGTACTATTTCATTACCATCTGATCTATAATATAAAGCAACAATATATTTCCAAATTACAGTGTTCTAATAAAGTTATAAAGTTAAATAGAGAAATAAAAATCTGAGCTTTCATGAAACCCTGAAAAGGCAAAGAAATGCTCAGAACGGTGACAAATCTTTCTAGAAGCAAACAGATCCTCATCAAGCAGAATTTACAGTTGAATTCTGGTAATATATATGTTTTACAATGTAACAATATCTGTATCTCTGGTGCTTCTCATTTTGCTGCCATTTCACAGCAGAAGGGTACCTACAACCCAAAATACTGTGACAACATATACAGCCAGCCTGTCACTCTTATTTTGAAGACAACTCGAAAAGTTTCCATGGAGAATTTAAAACAGGGAGAAGCAGAATCAGTGGTTTCTAGTTTCCAGTTGCAAATAAAATTTTCTGGGAAAATTTACTTGAAAGCAGCCTTAAATGAAAATCTATATAATTAAGGGAAAGACCATTGCTTCAAACAGATTGACTGTCTTCAACAAATTTCTCTCTTTCTAGCTACTCAGATATGCTATATTTCCTAATTATCACCTTTTAAGGGCCATCTGGGCCCCATTCCTCACCATCAGGGGGCAATTCCATTTGCATTGTTCATAGGCTTAGTCATGATCAAGTAGTCTGGTGGTAAAGTTCATTAGAAATTAGAAGAAAAGCATTAAACCTCACACAGTAAACCAAGTAGCTGATACCTACATACCCACAGGAGAGATAAGCATTTAATGCATATTCTCACACGACTTCACAAGTCTTCAATGAGCATTTTTTTTTCCTAAACTGCTTAAAGAATCGTTTGGACTGGTCCCTGAATAGGTACGTAATGAAAATTCAATTCAGTCTCTGCATATTATAAAAAATTTCTCAATTAAAGAGAAATGAATAATAAAACAATAATCTATTAAATAAAATCATATTCTATTTACATCTGTAGGCCTGAAAAGTCTAATAAAGCTAATGTAATGATACTATTATTTCTTTTGTTTTTCAGATGTTTGCTATCTTTTGCAAATCAAAGGCAAGATTTTTCTAGTAATTGAATTAAATATGCAAATACAGATGCACACTCATGCACTGCGTTGTTTAAAAATTTCAGAAACGTAATTTTGCATTAACCATATGAGAAGAGTTACTCTCTATTGTCATGTAGCAATAAATATCACTATACATTTCCCAACAGGTCAGTATAAACATGCATGGGGTAGCAGAGCAGGAAAACTAAGTGCTTGGCCTTGTGCCTGTATCCTATGGTATAGGTCAGTATTTCATCACTATGGTATTCTCAAAAGGTTTGAAAATGGTATTTAAAAAGAACCCAAGGAAGCTCAGAACATCTGTTTCATATAAATGATGGACCCAAGGAAGTCAACACTATGACTTCTAAATGCAGCGCCCTGTTTCAAAAGAGAAATGTTGCAGAACTCCTCTTTGATATGGAATTTTTATCTCTGCAGTTTGTGCTTTGAGTCAATTTTTTTGTGAAAATGTAAATGTCTGCATATCATTGGCCATATCAAGAAGCTGTAGTCAGATATTAATGTCTAGATTTATCTTTTGAGTATTGTAGGCTGTGTCATATCAGTGATGAACTCAGGTCCCAATACTCTGGAGTAATTGATTTGGATTTTTCAGTGCTGCCTATGAAACAGATAGGATAGCTTTAAGTTTATTTCCTTGAGAACCTTTTATGACTGACGCCTCATCTACTCATCTCTTGCAGCTTGGAGGACTCCTCTCAGAAGCTACACATGTGAGCTACTACTGTAGGGAGGAGCACATACCAGACAGCAGCACTAGAAGAAAGCTCTGGTCCTTGCTTATGAGGACACGGCAGGCCCAGGTAGGAATGTCATTAGAAGGTTGTCCAGATGGCTACTGAACGTTTCTGTGAAATGCAAAATTTGGAATCTTTAAATCCTCCTTTCTGATTTTAGGCAAGGTGAACCAAACAGCTGATTTCTTCTTTCTCACATTGGTGTAAATTAAAATTCATAAACACATATAGACAAATGTAGAGATATTTCAAAAAGAAACTGTATTAATTAGATCAAGCTTCTCTTCTGGATGGTTGCTTTGCCCTACCTCTGTGAAGCACTGGTTCATCTTTCTCATTGACAGGAGCATGGCTGAGCTGAGAAATCCCCATCACCTGCCAGCATCATGGGTTACCAAGGGCTGATTTTGGCCCTGGGCTGAGAGTATGTAAAATAGTTTCAGGCACCTCAAACAAATGCTTACAGTATGGCCAGTCTGCAGGTGACGAGCTCAGAGTTTGCAAAACAGATGTTGCCATTTTACATTAAAAATATAGGTAATTTTCCAGCTTTCCCCAACAGCTGTGCCTTTTAGAGGAATAGCCTACACCTGCTTTTGAATAATTCTTTACTATTTTCACTGAACAGTTAAACTCCAGTAAAAATACAAGCCTTGAGTGGATCTATAAAGCCAGCAAATGCAGTAAAATGTCACTGCCATGTCACAGAATTGCTTTACTACTTAACACTGCACAAGGAGTGTGTTTTCATAGTTGTGTTGAGTTTTAGCTACCTGGCTCCTACTGACTTTAATGGGAATCACACAGCTAAAACTCCATGCACCACTTTAATACTTCAAAGTAATTTTTCAGTCCCCCAGAGAAGGTCATAGAAATATTAAAAACTAAAGCATTCTCCAAGGATCTGAGATTAAAGACTTGCATCAGACTTTATAAAAGTGATTGGTCAAATATATAATATACTCCTAATGTTCTAGCTTCTGGTTTGTTTTCTTTAGAAAGAACCTTTGTGATGCTTTTCACAAAAGGCAATATAAAGCATAAAGAAGAGCTCAGCAAGGTATAACACGAAGACATAGAGAAGAGCTACTTGATACATGTTTACAGTGGTAAAGAGTTACTTATGTTTTTGAATATGGTGATCGAATTCAGGGCAATTCTTAATTAAGACATTGTTGCAACTCTATAGTACTTGATTGCAAGCAATACTGTAACACAAATATTTCTGTTCCCCTTCACACTTTCTCTGTTCTCCTTTGTCCCCGTAATTTACAATGTGGCCATAAAACTCCATTTCCATATTTCTTTCCTCGATTGGTTGACATAACTGCTCTTTCAGACCTCAGCGTGCATCTTCTCTCCTTTGTAGCTGGTTACTGGAAATACACAACCTTCTTTCTGCTTAGAGCTTTGACATCCTCATAAGCCCATTAGATCTGCCACACTGAAGGCAAACTGTATCTACACTATCAGCTGTACGGATAGACAAGGAGTGAAAGCACCAGGAAAGATGATGAAAGAAACATGAATTCAGGAAACTTGTATTGAATCTGGCTTCACATTATTGAAGGCACAAGCAGCAACCAAAGTCATAAGCTAATTCTTTGTTTGGTGGTGTTACCAAAAAATTGATATTTATATACAAAGTCATCTGGTAATATAATAACCTCAATAAAAATAAAAGTGCTTAACAGAACACAAACAGCACAGTCACAGAATGACACAGAATCATTTAAGTTGGAAAAGACCTCTGAGATCATTGAGAACAATCTTTGACTCATCACCACCGAGTAGTGTGAAGTCCAGTCATTTCTTGAGCATCTCCAGGCATGGTGACTCCACCACCTTCCTGGGCAGCCCACTCCAATGTTTAACAACCCTTTCTGCAAAAAACTTTCTCCTGATGGTAAATCTGAATCTCCCCTGACACAGCATCAGGCCATTTCCTCTCATCCCATTGCTAGTTGCCTGGGAGAAGAGGCTGACCCCCACCTGGCTATAATCTCCTTTCAGGTAAGTGTAGAGAGTGATAAAGTCACCCCTAGGCCTCCTTTTCTCCAGGCTAAACAACCCCAGCTCCCTCAGCTGCTCCTCATAGGACTTACTCTCTAGACCCTAGTCTTCCCTGGATCTTTCTTCATGCTGAACTAAACATCTCACATTTAAATTCCAAAGTTGAAAAGCAAAACTAGAAAAAAAAAAGCCAATGCACATAAAAATAATAAAGAACATTTTAAGCATGCAGCGAGTGTCTACCATACACTGATGAAATATTTTCAGCCTTCCACCTAGAACAAAATTGAGAAGCTCGCTAACCACACCAATTCTCCCAAAACACTACATCCTGCATAAAAGCACTGCCAAGGCATGTGGAATGAACCCATACTTATTACCAGATAATCCTAGCTATAATCTAAAAAGCATGAATCAGAAAAATATAAGCATGTGTAAATACACAGACAAACTTTGAAGTGGACAGGCATGCCCCTCTAATGCCTCCAAGCTATTACATACACACACTTAAGGAGAAGAAGCATATACATGCAAGCAATAGGTTTCTGTAAAACTGGAGGTTTTGTTTGTGTTGCCATCATCCCTACACACAGTTGTCAAGTTACAGACCAATTAAGCTGAAATAACCCTGCGCTAAAGTCTTGAACACAAACCAAAGCACTGGGTTGATGCAAAGAAAGTGTTACCATCTTAACCAATTCACATGAAAAATGACTGTGGCAATATCATCACACTATAGGTATCCTAAAACAAAACAGGTCACATTTTGCTTTTTTTGTCACAGGAAAGGCAAATTGATGCATAATTAACAATTGGCCAATGCAAATTCTTTTACATCTTTTAATTGGTGTTAATTAGATTAGAAGTAAATTTTCTTTTATCTCAACACTCTAATGCGAACTAATCTTCTCAGCAGCATGTCAAAGTTTCCCTTTTAATTAAACTTTTCAGCTGGGAACTTCGGCAGCACTCAGGCAGCAAAATCTATAATTTAAGGCACATGAATGGTGCTAGGTTTTATGAATGGAACATCAAAAATTTAAAGCAATGATTAAAAAGGCTGAGCAGAAGGTCAGAAATCTGAATTTTGTGGAGGCAACAGCGAGCTTTTAAAGCCACTTCGAGTATGTGTCGGCAGCACTCTCCAGCCACCCCTTCCACATTCAAATCCATCCTTTTATAAAGGAAAACTACCCCAAATGTAAAACATCTTCTGTGAATTAACGTCCCCCTTTCATACTGCTTTCCCCAAAATATTGCTGCTCCTCTAGAATTGTTAACGTGCAGAATAAACCACAAAATACATTTAATATCTTTTATGGGAAGTTGACCTGAAATAAAATTTTATGTAGTTAAAGACTTTTGATAGTTCTTCATCCAACTTTTTTCTCTCTCTATGGGGCAACGGTGATTGAAACCTAATGTCTGCTGCACAAAAAGGCCATAAAATGTTTTATGCACAAGTAAAACAGTAGCCATTAAGTTTTGCTGTAATGTTTGAGTAGATATGCAGCATGAAAACATGATAAAAGAGCCATAAACTGATTGTGATCAAATGCAATTACAATGACTTCTCTCCAATGAATGACATGTACTAAATGCACTTACAGTTCCTTGCAAAATTACTTTGGGCAAAGGACCAAGAAAACACTATATCCTTTTTACGAACGGCAGCTTGCCAGGGAAATCGCAAACACACAAGCTTTAATATCTGTGGCCAAAAAGCACTTGGGAACTCATTAGGAAAAGGTTAAAAAGACTCACTTGTGAAAGACGGCTTTTTTTGTATGATTAGAACAGCATCCTGGAGAGTCCAGCATTTGGGGTGTTAGGAAGAAGTGGTCCTGGAGAAAGGAGAGAGGAGCCCTAGGAAGAGTGGGTACCAAACTCATCATGTGTTGACTCCATCACAAAAGTATATTCCGGAAAAAAGCAATTGTTTTCGCAGGTTTTTCCATTAAAGCTTTATATCCTGCCCTGATTGAGGACAGGAGGTGAAAATGGCCACATAGCCTAAAAACATATATTTTGCTAGGAATAATGTCTGTCAGCACTGGAAGATAGAAAAATAATTAAGATAGAAGCCAATAGATTTGAAATCAGATGAATCTGATGATTCTTTACTGTGAGAGTGGTGAGGCACTGAGACAGGTTACCCAGAGAGCCTGTGGATGCCCTGTCCCTCAAAGTGTTCAAGACTGGGTTGGATGGGGCTTAGAGCAACTTGGTCTAGCGCAAGGTGCCCTGCCCATGGCAAGGGTTAGAACCAGATGGAACTAGAGGTCCCTTCCACCACAAACCATTCTGTAACTCTATGAGTCTATGAAGTACACCGTTTTTAAAGGTGAAGAAGAACCAAGATCTTGGGAGTTTCATCCTTTTGATTGTGTTTTGGGGTTTTGCTTAGATAGCCTGGTTTAACTTTTATTCATCCAAAGGATTTCTACATTTTGAGTAGTCAAATCAAACCCCTGGATTTCCTGAGGAGTACACCGCAAGGAGAAGACACACTCAGGTGTCAGAAGGTGGTGAGAAGTGCCAGGTATTTCTGTGGCTAACAAGATTTAAGGAAGATGCTGTAAAGATATTCCAAGTAATCTCTGTTCCAAAAGCAAACATGCAATACTAATGTGGCAACAGCAGTAATTTCCGCAAAGGTGAAACTGCCCTGAAGTATTTTAAAAAGTGCAAACCAGGAGTGCCATAATTTTCTATGTCTTCCTGGAAATAAAGGGAGTGGAAACCAGGACCAGAACTTAAGGCATTTTCTTTATACAGGAAAGACAAAATAGAGTTGGAGCTACAGATGTAAATTTGTATTTAATAAAGACAGTGAAAAAATCCAGCAAACTGTCACTTTCATTGTCTAACAAAGTACAATTATTACATTTTAGGGGCACCTAGAAAGTGTAGAATTAACTGCTGATGCTTAGAACAGGCACTAAATGGGCTACCAGAGCTAGTATAATACCCAGGAACAAGGTGAGGAGAGAACTGAATCTCCTTAGTGAAGGAATGAATTCCCACCACACCACCAGGATCCATTTTAATGG